CCACGCCGCGCATGCGCCCGGCCAGCCCTTCGCTTCCCCCCCTCCCCTCAGAAACGCCCTGACCGGTTTCTACACGCAGCCGCCGCCGCCGCCCCACCCGAAGAACGGGAGGCCCGAATAAAGCCGAGCGGGAACCCTAACCCTTTCCCCGTCAGAGCTCACCTCGCCCGGCCCTCCTGCTGCTCCTTCTGCTGCTGCTTCGCCACCGCCGCCTCTCCTCCCTCATTCTTCCCATCTGGTTCCCTCACGGCGGTGGATATCCGGCGGTGGGAGGGAGCGGGCGCAGGCATTGGTCCTCGCGGCGGCCAATCAACCACGCCGGCCTTGTTTTTGTGACTGCCGTAGTAACCTCGCGGAGCCCCGCCCCTCGGCTCGGCCTGACCTTCCGCTCCCTGGTTGCTAAGGGCGGGGCCCGACGCCGGATCTGCCCATTCTTAAAGGAGGGCCTTTCAGAGATACGCCGCTAGGGCAGAGACGTGATTGATGGTCAGAATAGCCAATAGCTAAATAAAAGCGAGTTACCGACTGGGAGAATGGCCAATGAAACTTCTAAGACTGGGGAGGTGGGTTGGAATAGAAATAAATAACGAGTTATGATAGGGAAGGAGAGAGAAAAGAGGCGGGGTTTGAGGGTTGACACCGGCAAAAAGTGCATATGGGGGGATTTGAAGACTACATGTCCCATAGCCGCTTGGGGCAGCAAAGCCATTGGGGGGATTGTGGGAGATGTAGTCTCAAAGCAAAGATCTTCTAGATTCATAGTTAAAGAGCAATAAAACTCTTGTGTGAGGTTTTCAACAACTATAAACAATTTTTAAGGAGAAAGGAAAGGAAAGGAGCACAGGAAATAACCATTGGTGGATAATATATTTGATTATCAAAATTAATTGCAAATAATATTACATAGCTTCTTAATAATTGACGGACAATATATTTAGCCATCAATTATTAAGCTATATAACATTTTAAATATTTTTAATTATTTTTGTACTTAATACAATGTTAACATTACCATTAATATCTATTTACAGCTATTATTGAGTATTAATAAGTAACAATAATACAGCGATTGCTTCAAAATATCTTGATTGTTGCAATAATAATGAGCTGATTGTTGATGAAATAGACAGCAATCCAGAAAAACTTGCTTTTAATAACACTTGTCGCTCTTTATTTTATTGATTGCATTTATATATGCCTTTCTTCTGACACTCTGAAGATGCCATAAGACTCACACCAATGTTTTTGCTGAAACAAGCACGTATTATTAAATACATGTATTATTAAAGCAAGTTAAATAAATAAATTGATTGTGGTCTTCTGTTATTTTTCAGTTCCAGCAAACTACCTGGAATCAATGGTGAACAGTAGAATTGGAAAATATTTGGAAATAGATTACTGTAATATCAATGGCATGTATTGGTTGACAGAGGGGAAATGAACAGAAAAAAGTTTTTCCATGGGAATTTTTAAATCGAACTTTGCTCTACTGTACTTATTCATTCATTGGGCTAAAGCCAAAGTCAGTCACATTTAGATTATACCTCATGGCTGAAATAAAAGTGTCACAAGTAGACTCAATCAAGTGCTAAATGGTAAGTCAAGTGTCAATTGGCTTACATTAATTAGGATGAACAGTAGAATTTAGGCCACTGAAAGCAATGGAATTGACTTAACATGTGACACGTCTGATTCTATCTATTATAGTCAAGATTAATGTTGGATTTACCCATTATTTAGACATACATACATATACACATACTGTTTATTTGTGCTGTATGTTACACTGTGCACTCTGCTTTTAAAATTAAATTTGCTGCAATGGTCATAACTGCTGCCCACACTTACACTTTCCTTAATTTTCTTAATTGACTGATTCTCTCCATCCTTCATTTCTCAGACTTCGATATGAAATGTCAGCTGTTTGCTAAGGCTAAATGGTAGAATGGTTCCCAAATGTAAGTAAAGCAGAACCTCCATATTTGTGGGATCAGTACCCATGGTTTCACTTATCCCTTGCCTGACATAGAATAAAAAATACAAATAAAATCCAGAAATACACATTTCCAAGGTGTATTACCAGGACTAACCACTAGATGGAACCAGAGACTATGCTATATACCACTGATGGCGAACCTTTTTGTGCCCACTGCAACACAAAACGGACCTATTTATTTCACTAGGCTTAATGGACAGAATCTTACCCAACTGTGGGGCACAGACAACAGCACTGGATGGGAACGGTACACAAAACGTAGTTCTGACTCCCATATGACAAGTGTGCTATAAGGCCCATCGCACCTGTGACAACGAAATTGGGAATCTATTGTGTGGAATAGGATGAGAACCTCCTTGGTCTTCGGGCCCTCTCTTACGGCACAATTATCCAAGTTATAATGCAGCAAAGCTGCCCAGCCATTTAAGTCTATCACCCGTAACACCCTGGCTAGAGTACGTCCTGTCCTGCGAGCAAAAGCCCCCCCCTTCTCTGCCCTCCTCCCTTAAAGAAACAGCCTCACAGAGAAGAGGAGAAAGGAAGAGCCCATATCCCAATCAGAGCTCTCTCGACCTTATGCTTGCCTCTCGCTTCTTCCCAATGCCACTCAAGGAGTGGAAATTGCATCCTCAGCGGACCCCGGCTACTCCGAGGTCCATGCGAGATCTCCCCTTCCCAATGCCACTCAAGGAGTGGAAATTACATCTTCAGCGGACCCCAGCTACTCTGAGGTCCATGCGATATCTCCCGCACAAGCAGCCCGGAGCCCAGAAGAGGTGTTTCTCCTGGAGGCATTGCTGTAGAGATACGATACGACAAACCTTTATTGGCAGAAAACAAAGTGAACAGGGAAATAAGACACAAGGGGAAAAGGGGACACAGTCGAAGAGACATAATCAACGTTAAATGAGGGAATACAATATGATAAGAAGTAATACATAATACCCGGGGAATAGGGTCAAGGAAAGTAAGGCAACCGTAAGTTCCATAACTGCAGTTAGATAGCCACCGCCTCAGTGGGGGGGGGGCACAATGGTCACTCAAAAAAATTAGGGAGGAGGTCAGGGAAAAAGTCTGAAAAGGGAATCAACCAATGATCTTAAAAAACAAAGTTTCCAAAGGGAGTGATGTGCTGGACATCTGAATAGAATACCTGGTGAATCAGGCTGCAAATGACAGAAAAGGCAGAGTCTTTTCCCTTTAGGGGTTTTGGAGAAACGGTCATAATGCATTGCGTTGCTGTAGCGATAATCAACATTAAATGAGGGAATACAATATGATAAGAAGTAATACATAAAACCTGGGGAATAGGGTCAAGGAAAATTCTACAATGAGAGGCAACTGTGAGTTCCATAACTGCAGTTAGATAGCTAGCCACCACCTCCGGGGTGGGGGGGCACAACGGTCACTCAAAAAAATTAACCATTGATCTTAAAAAACAAAGTTTCCGAAGGGAGTAATGTGCTGGACATCTGAATAGAACATGATCTGGTGAATCAGGCTGCAAATGACAGAAAAGGCAGAGTCTTTTCCCTTTAGGAGTTTTGGGGAAACGGCCATAATGCATTGCATTGTTGTAGTGTCTCCTTGTTCAATGAGGTAGCTGCCTTTGCCTGTTGCACTAGACGTATGGTTCGCGTGCCCACAGAGAGGGCTCTGCGTGCCATCTGTGGCACGTGTGCCCTAGGTTCGCCATCAATGCTATATACAAATACACTCGTCAAGCGCTGTCTCATCTCCTGAGAACAGGAGGACATGAAACCCAGTCCTTTGGCAAGACTGGGTCAGGGCTCCCTCTCTCAACCATGCACAGATGCCAAAGAATTTGGAAGTGCTTTGCTTATCTGCTGTTTCCGGCATCCGCGGGAGGGGCCTCGGAACCGACCTCCTGCAGATGCTGTGGGTTCTGCTATAAATGTACAGAAACACGTTCCTCCTCCTCTCGCACCTACAAAATAAATGGATGCGTGTTCCTAAAAAGAAAATTAAAAAGCGAGTCAACCACAACAAGTGTTCCGGGTGCTCAATAGCAACTCGATTCATCTCAAAGCAACTTGGAACAGCAGGTGCCCGACAAAGCCGGCTGCCCTTCCTGTCATGGCGTTTGCATAGATTCTTCTCATCAAGATAAAAGACACGGATTAAAGATAAAATCAAAAGGAACTGGCAGTCCAGAGTGGAGAAGAGCAGCGACAGCCTCCTGACAGCTTGCGCAAATGGGTGACAGATCTGGTAAGGTTGCTTCAAAGGCACCGCATCCAGAAGGAAGAACATCAGCAAAGCGCTACCCAAATAAGAGAGCTGGAGTATTCGGCTTGCGGATAAACACAGCACACATTTGTGATTCGCTCTGCCCCCAAAGAAACAAACACACCTTTTTCGGTTTGTTTGTTTTTTTGCTGTCATACAGAGAAAACGCTGACATGATCAGAAGTGATGTTTTAATATATTAGAATACGTTACAAAAAAAGGAGCAATTGGAGTATGTGGTCTACGAGAGGAGTGGGAAGCCAGTGGAAAACACATGGCCTCGTATTTTAAAGAGATTCCCAGTGTGATGTAGTGGGTAGAGCAATGGATTAGGACTCCAGAGAAAAGGGTTCGAATTCTGAATCACTGACACTCCCCGGAGGAGTCAAACTGGTAAAACCACCCCTTAAAATATCTCAATTACCTTGAAAGCCTTGGCAGCACAAAACAAAACATTTCAAAACCCATTTATTTGGCTGTATGAAATAGAAGGCACCATTAGGTGGCGATCTGCAGCTGTTCTATTCGCAGAACACAAAACCACACTTTTTCAGGATAAAACTTCTTTTGCTTTTGTATACCTTTTCAGCGGCAACCCTGTGCCAGCAACATATGACTCCAGAGAACGGACCCAATGCAAACATCAGAACAGGGCTGGGACATGTGAGCGCTCCCATATCTTCTTGGACTACAACTCCCATCGTTCAAGGCCGGAATAGCCAATGATGAGGGATGATGGGAGTTGTATTATTAATATTTTTTTTCAAGTCACTTTTTCAACTCAGTGCAAATCTCTGTGTTTGGATGGTCCCTTTGCAGGGCACAGATGGGTTCTTCGACCACAACTCTGCTCACATTATTACAACAGATTCCTCAACTCACTGCTTAGTCAATCCGCTAAGGTCTGCAATGCAATTCTGTGCATTCTCTGCTAAAAAGCAAATCCCACTCGGTTCAGCTACAGTGATTCCCGGGTACTGATCTGCACACAATTGCAGCTGAAACCAAGATGGAAAGAACTCTCTTTTCT